CTCAATTACATTTAAGTGGTATAATAGCAATAATTCATAATCGTTTGATGATCGTTTTTATGCTTCCGTTCATAAGATATGTCATTAAATTATCCTCCTTACACTCCTTGAAATAGAAGCGACTTAAAAGTAACAGCTTTTTTTGTTTTTAAATAGCACTAATGGTACAAAGAAATCGTTGATATGTTGATAGTTATACCATTTCTTTATAAGTTTAATAATAATTGATTGTATAAATAAAAGAGTCATTTTATATCGCAACATATTTAGTTTGAATATCTTTAATTGTTAGATGTTCTAAGAGAGTAAAACTTTTATGTGGTGTGATAAAGAGTTATTTCCTTATGACAAAAAATTATTTTTCCAAGCTTAATATGTCTTTATTTTGCCAGAAGACTATGACTATGACCTGACTACTTCTCTCATCTCACTCCTAGAACATTTTTGTATTTAACAGCTAGATAAGGGATACTGTATATACTCATTAGAAACATGTTTCATTCAACAGGTTTGGTATTACTCTAAAAAAGAACAAGTAACTCATATTACAAAGGTTCCAAATATGAATTTTAGATGATTAATACACATTTATTTAATTTTACCCGTGCAAAATGGTGCTATATCAGTCAAATATGTTTCATATTTTGTAGAAAATAAATATGAAATATAAATATGAAAGTGGGCAGAGTCAAAACTCATATTTATTTTAAGGGACTTCTTTCGCCATGTGTTTAAAAATATCTGATAAATAAATAACAACTTTTGTTGAAATTTGTTTTCAAAACTATCTAGAATGATAGAAAATGGTCTAACTAAGAAAGTAAATCCGAACACCAATATCTTTAATTCAGTCATTAACTCTGTACAGTCGTTTAAAGAGTTGTTTACGTGACGTCACAATGTATCGCCAAACATCGTGTGCATAACAAGTCGCATCTATAAATAATAAATATATTACTGCGCGCTGTACAATTGCAGTTTGCGTAGCAAGCAAGGGGGTTTGTAATCATTTTTCTTTAATAATGAAATTTAATAAAAGGGTTTTTAAATATGGTACAGGTATATATATTCACTCAACATAATAAAATGCCACATATTTTCACTTGCCGTCCCGGCTCGTGTAAATATGTGGCATTTTATCATGTTTCGTGAAAATATATTCTATATTTCACTGAAACTAAAAAATATCCTCTTAGTATTTTTTAGGTAAATATTTAGGGTTTTGGAGTGTCTATAATTATAATAAATGTGCATTTAAGTGCATTTAATGTAATTTCATTTTATCTTAAGATGTAAAAAGATTCTAAAAAAAAAACATTACCATCTGATAAGACCTTGGTAAAATAACAACTACATTTCCATATGCTGTAACATGAGTGACAGTTATGTTAAACGAAAGACACTTGCATGCATCTTACTTCCTTATTTAACCAAACTTTTATTGAATTCCATTTTAGTTTATCTTAAGACAAAATTGTATAGCTATAATGTGTTTATTGTTGTTCATCTGACAAGACCGTGGATTAATAATAATGTAAATCTCAGTAAAAGTAATAATAATGTATCTCTTATAGATGTGAATCGTTCTTACTGACTTTTACCATATATTTTACAAATTTTCATTAGGGATGTAAATGCACACTACTGACGATTTAATCATACAACCCGTACAGGAGTGTCGGGTATAAAAGTTATGAAAGTACTTGCAACAGTTACCTTATATTTTGCATATTTTATCAACAACACATTTCATTCATAACTTAATCATAACAGTAACTTAATCAGTTTTATTTGAAAAGCTGAATGCCACTTTGACTGTCAAAATTGACACTTAAGAGTTTCCAATAACATTGGATCTATTATATCATGATGTTTGTGATGTTGTTTTGAAAATCAAAGTCACACTTAAAATAAGTAAAGGAAATCATGTTAATTATAATCATTAATTCCTTACCGTTCATTCAGTTTATGTGAATAATCAAAGATGAATTACCCCAGGAATGACTAGTCGTGTTAATATTGTAAGCATCAACTTTCCATTGTTTCCAGAGTGACTATCATTTTATATGTAATGTATAATGTTGTTGATGTTATAATTATCTTTTTTTTTATTCTAGATAACTTGCTGACTAATTAAAGTAATGCTTTCTCGCTAATTCCCAGTGAATGTATATATAAAATTATATGATATATTTTGACGTATAGGTATGTTGGGTTTTACCATATTCTCTGCTTTACATCGTAAAAATATAGTTCTATTATTAATACCCGCTGTATCATTTTGATCCATATCTATGTGTTAATTACTTTACATTCACGTTTGTGCACAAATTGTCACTTTGACGTTGGCGTCCTAAAACGTGACGTCAAATACTTTGTACGTTATTCTGATGAAAACAACAGTCGAAACTAGTAAAGATGAAAGAAATATGTGTTGCTTTGGTGTAATTTAACTGATTTCATTTTATATGTCATTCCATCACAATTATCTTCCTAAAATACTTGTCATTAAAATACTAAAATAATAAATTGAATGTCATCTTATTATAATAAAAACACAAGAGAAAAAACTTCAAATGATCCGTATAACAAATTATTTGTCTCTATTTCTACCTTTTGATTTGGAAAAATAAAGAAAGAAAGAAAGAAAATAAAAAAAGAAATTAAGTAGTGCATAAATCTAGTTCGCATATTGATTAAAGTGCGTGTAAAGTTAACTTCTCCTGTTTAAAGCGTACCTACCTGATTCATTTTTAAGGTTCTTTGGGTTGGTTTTAAAATAAGATCTTAAATCACTCTCGCATTTATTTATTTTGCATTCAAGGATTAACACGTGCACCACAATAAGCAAATTTGTGTTGACTAAACGACAAATACAGGTTATGACTTTGTAATGGGATATCTTTAAATGATTCTTTGCGTCCGTTTTATTTTCTATTGAATTGAATGGTCTATCATATAAAACCCAACAATATAATTATACCTATTTTCCATTTAGTTATAAGGTCCGGAAAATTGGATATGACAGAAGCATGAGTTAAAGGAACTATTTCATCCTCTATCTCACTCTATAAGGATGATTAATGTAAGAAGAGAAAAAGTCATCGCGTTATTTCGTATGAATATAAGAAATACAATGAAGCTGAATTAATATAAACATATGGTATACTTTAACTGTGTAAATGATTTAATTTGTTCGACAGGATTTTTTTTTTCTAAATTATGCATCCCATTAAACAGTTCTTACTTTATTTATTAAGTGTAAGTAAAATGCTATGGGGAACCAACACATTTAGGTTATCTTGCGCCGAAATTGAAAAGGTGACTGGGGACTTCAAATTTCAAAGCAACGCCATGGGTCAAACCACCTAACCTGACGGAGCTAAGAGATGCATAGATTTCGGTACAGCAAACCAAACCTATAAGGTCACTTCTTACAATCACGCAAGTGTAAGCGTTGTATGCAGTTTTGATGCCTCAACCCTTAAAAAGGACACCCCTCAGACATAAGTACGGAAATTGAAATACTTTAAACATAAAATTACACTTTCAGGACAATTTTCCTTGTTTAAATAAACATGAAACATCCAACAAAATGCTTATTACTAATTCTTGAAATTTTGCACTCACCTTGGTTGACTTTATCATGAACTATATGCCACTGAAAAACAAACACTTTTTTGAATAAACAGAACATAAACAATATTGTGATCCATAATAATTTGCGGAGAAATATTAATTTCATCTTTCTATCATTTGACGTTATTTGTAGCCTAACAGGCATGAACTGGCTCAATCAAACCGAGCTGCAACATTTTCAATATTGCCGTTTTGGACTTTCTTTAGGGATTCTTGTTTGCTCCATTTTAAATTGTTTTTTTTTTGTAGACATTCACATTTCAAAACAACTTTCAATACCGTTTTTTTGTTGTTGTTTTTTAAGTTTTTTCAAATTTTACCAAAATAAAATTAATGAACAATTTGCAATATAAGATTTATGTAATACAGTAATAATTTTGTTACTGAGATGCAGCAGCAAAATTACTACGCGGACGTTGAGTGTCTCAGAGTGTCTCTAATCATTGTTATAGAAATCATTACGGGTTAGTAGTCGATTGAAGTCTGAAATCGGCATAAAAAACATACAAACAAAGAAACGCACGTTCACTGCTCCCAGGGCGATAGTACATAAAGTTTGTTTATTTACTAATAGTAAGTTTGGTTTTACGGCGCACTTACACAATTTAGGACATAATTATGGCGCCGAAACAGGAACAGGAATTTTAAAGATAGTTCTGGCTAACCTTTGGTTTTACAATCTTTTTACTTTCTAAAATAAATGTAGTACATATAATTATGTGAGTTTTTACTACTTTACGATACCTATAAATATAACATTGATATCAAGTAAAACTAAGGATTCAAGTACAAAATAAACAGGTAACCAATAATTTGCATTACACCTCCCCCTGTCCCGCCCTCTACATCAATCTTTATAAGTAAGATAAGAACGTCCATGCCTTAAATCCTGGCTAATCGGAAGAAATTATTGTCCGGTCCCGACCATGTCCGGTATAGTGAATTTGTACTTGTATTATAATGGATATTGTCAACCTTAAAAATAATTACCCAGAACGTATAATTAAAGACATGTTCATGGTTAAAATGCATTTCTACAGCAACATTTAAAATAATAAAACAATGAATCTTCTTGTCTTTCGGGGTCAGTGATCTCTGTAAATGGAATACCGCTTTAGCTGATGCTAGGATCGTGCGAGATAGTATACCCTGAACGAACACCTAAATAATACTGTATTGACCTTTACTACGCTGAATGTGCTAAATGGAGTACCCTAAAAACCACAATTTAATGTTCAAAATCCCTGAATCACCATGAAGACTTTCCCTAATGTTTGAAATAGTTATTTGATACTTTTAGTCTGCACAGTGAGAAATGAAGTAGACACAATTGTGTAAACTTAAACCATATTAATAACAAGTTCAACTATTCGACAAGGAAGTTCAGTATATCCATTAACATATGCTCAGTGGTAGCACAGATTAAAATATATTCCATTATGCGAACAGTTATTTTGTTGCATAATAATTTTTGTTTCATTAAGTTTAGTCTTTCAAAGAATAATTGCTACAAAGGTATTCTTAATCTATTTTTGTTATATTGTTATATAGCATTAGTTAAAATAGTGTTGTTGTTTTTCATTAGTTGATTTTTTTTTCTGTTTTTATTGGTTATAAAAGCTCAGATTAAAATATATTCCATTATGCGAACACTTATTTGGTTGCATTATGATTTTTGTTTTCTTCAGTATTTAGTCTTTCATGGAACAGTAGCTAAATAAAAAGGTATGTTTAATCTATTTTTGTTATATTGCTATATACCATTAGTATTGTTATTATTATTTTTATCTTATTTTATTTAATATTTATTTTATTTTATTTATTTTTTTTTCTATTTTTTGCGTTCATTTTTTTTGCGTAAATTATTGATCAATATATTAATATTTGAAAGCCTATATTTAATGCAAAGTTATTGAAACGTAACTAACAGTAAACATTGACACATTGCATGTCACGATTTATAATTATAATAAATCACTATATCGTGATTTACCTTTAGGTAAGAGAACTTAAACTAACCCTTAGTGCTGGTTTATAAGACACTAAAACGGAAGTGGGTTAATCTTGAAAATGCTTCGTATGTATTGCTATTGATTTTGTGTTTATAATTGTTCTTTTTAATGAGACTATTTTCTTCATTTATATGCATTCTCATGTTTTGTTTAAGTAATTTAAAACAAAGTTGTATAGTCTATTTGCATATCAGGTATGTTTGTGCACATTTTCACTTACGCGACATAATAGTTAATTCAACGTTTTATTTAGTTCAAACACAACGTTTGTTTATTTGTAACTTTTCCAAATTTTGCTGACAAAAATCACGGATTAGTTTTCAAAGATAATGACAGGATAAAAATATTGCATGGGCGTTGGTAACATTTGTAATGTAAACCGATCCGCAAGATCGAGTTATATGGCAAAAAAACTTTATTTATGGTTAGATCACATGTCAATCATTGAAGGACGAATTTTGTAAAATAGCATTATTCCTTTTTATGGGAATAAAGAATACTTGCTACGGCTTCAGCACATTCATACCCAATATGTATAACAACCTTTATTATATCGTTGAAGTTTTGCCAGAACGAATCATCACACTATGTTTATTATACATAACTATCAATCGCAACACGGGAAAGCGACATGGACTTAATTGTTCGCCAAATGACGTATATTTATACAAACTCATCACCTTCTCTTGCAAGGGTTGTACATGTCAAACAGCTTTATTTGATTTCAGGAAGGTACATGTAATTGAAGTACACCACAGTCGATGTGTGGGATGCATATACAGCCAAATCATTAGGATCATCAGTAAATACCTTGATGTTGGACAAAAGATGAGCATTCAAATCTGATCACAATAACCACGCTCATCTTGACGTACACCACATTCGAGGTGTGTAATGCATATTATAACTAAAGAGAATCAGCATCATCAGTGAATAATTTGATGTTGGACAACAGATGAGCATTCAAACCTGAACAAAATGGCCATGGTCATCTTAGTAACATTTCTTTTGTTGATAAGGTGTTCCGGAGCAAATGATTTGGCTATCTTTGAGAAGACATTGTATGAAGCATTTAAATGTAGCTATGATAAAAGTTCGCCTACATTGACGATAGAAAATGGTGTTACTGATGAACAAATTAAAGAATGTGTAAAGACCTATAAATACACTGAGCAATTGATGCTATGGAATAGTCATTTAAGTAATATTCCAAAATATTTAAACATATTGAGACATCTTGTGCATTTAGATTTATCAAACAACGATATAACGGAAGTTACATTTGAAGAAATAGAAGGCATTTGTCAACAACTGATATATCTTTCACTAGACAATAATGACATCGAGGCCTTACGAAAAGGGGATCTTGATTGTTTACAATCCCTTCAATATCTTCACCTTGGAAATAATAAGTTAAAATTTGTGGAAAATGGAACGTTCAGTGTAAGAATGAAGAGTATAAGATACATATATTTAGTTAATAATAGTCTCACAGTTTTAGATTTTAGTTTGCTAAGTCGACTGAAACTGTCTGACAATGTGACGCTAACAGTAAATGCTTCGCAAAATTTTATTACAGGAATAACTAATTCAGCGAATATAACGATACAAGATTTTACATTAAAAACCACTGTGGGAATTGTAGCAACTCACAATAATATCACAACTGTTAACATACAATATTACTTCGAAATGTTAAATATTACAAACCCGGTGCAATTAGCACGATTGGGGAGCTCCGGGTTCGACGTGCGTTTTAACCCTCTTATTTGTGATTGTGCAATGTTCCCGTTAGCAGACGCTCTTAATACGTTCAGGGACATGGATCCAGACAACCCTTTATTTTCAGTGACATGTGGAACTCCTTCAAGTCTTGAAGGAATGATGCTACGCCAAGTTCCAAAAAATCAATTTAATTGCTCTGTTGAAGTAAATTGCCCAAAAATGTGTACATGTAACAAAACAGCAGCGCTTGACCTCGTGACCATTCACTGTGATGGAAATTATTCTAAAACTAACATTCCAATGACATGTCCAGTTGCTGAAAAGATTAACATTAATATCAAATCTAACAAGTTGACAAAAGTCTCTTCCAGAGCATATCTTAGTAATGTATCACAATTTGATGTATCTCAGTGTGCAATTACAACCATTGAAACATCGTTTGTTGACATGATACAAAATACCTCTTTCGATGCTTTATTATTCAATGACAATGGACTGGAAACGATACCAAAATCGTTTAAAAACTTTAATTTCAGAAATGAACAGGTCTTAGCGTTGGACGGAAATCCATTTAATTGTGATTGCCATACACGTTGGATGAAATCTTGGCTTTATTTGAACAAAAAGCATATTTTACGACAGAATAACATCAGATGCGCAACTGGACCAGGCAAAAACAAGCCAATAATTGAAGTACCAGACAATTTATTTATTTGCCACACTTTAACAGCCACCGACGAATTACTTATTGTGATTGGCTCTGTAATATTTGTCGCTCTTTTATTCATAATTTTGTCGTATAAATCTAAAAATATACAAGTGTTCATGATATCCCATTTTGATATATGCAAGTATTGCTGCCGGAGAAGAAAACACCGCAAGTTGTTATTTGATATCTTCATTCCTCATTCATGTGAGGACGATGATGTTATTAAAAAGATTGTTGATTATCTTGAGAACCACGATCCACCATATAGTGTATGTATTGGTGAGAAAAACTTTAAACCAGGTCTGACAATATCTGAAAATATACTGGATGCCATTGAATCCAGTCAAACAACTTTGCTTGTCATTTCTAATAATTTTCTAAAGAGCACGTGGTGTAACATGGAGTTTCGTGAAGCTCACATGAGATTTCTGAGAGACAGGAACATTAATATGGTGTTAATTGTGTTAGAGGAATTAGACACCAAACTTATTTGCAAGGAGTTAAAAATTTACATGGATACGCATGTTTACATCCAGTACACAGACAACCAGTTTTGGGCTAAACTTCTGCAAAGCCTTCCCATTATAATTGATTCCCCGTCATTTACTGACGAATCGCCGCTTCTTTCAAATTAGATCAGACACTTGGCACCAATATAAACGCACAAGGAAGTAACTTGTAGTACAGAGCAAATCAAATGAATACAGGAAAACGAGAACTTAATGAATATTCTAGATGATAATATCCTTGTTACCAATACATCAGTAAGGTGACAGGTTTGCTAAAAGTGCAAGTAAAACTTCAAACAGACTAAATAAGTTCTGTACCAATTTAGATTATGATGTGAATATACACAGTTGCCTATGTAATTATTACAGTCTTGTAAGAATAAATGGTTTTAAGAAATTAGAACGGCCAGGAGCGACTAAATGAAGCTATGTAAAATGAATATATTTCTTGTTATGCTTTATATTGTTTTTTACGGCGCACCAACATATGACGCCGAATCAAGGACGATGATTTTGGCTAACCTCGGTTGTTTTAAAATGTAAGCAACATCAGATGTTAGAACCGTCCAACCTTCTAGAGATAAGAGAAGCCTTAACTGTTTAAGGCAACCCTTTAGCCAAATGATGGAAGTATGTTTCTTTATATTATCGTTGATCTAATGTTCATATTTCATCCTGGTTTCCTCATATCTTAAGATATTATAATAGTATTAAAACATTTGGTAAAAACTAACCACACATGCGCTTAACTAATTGCTTAATAACATGTTATATATACTAGTTTATTATGCAACACCAATGTTAATAATACGTTGACATAGAGTTTGACATTAACAGAAAGAATTTTTGTCGTATTCCTTTCATCATATGTGTAAAAGACTTGTTTAGCCATTTGTTTGTGTAATGTGTATCCCTTTCATATATAGTCAGAGTCATGTGACAAATTAATTAAGCAATATGAACTATTTCAGCAAAAACCAGTTTGATTATTTTTATATACATAATATACATTTATATCAAAGACATTTTGTTATTTGTTATTGATGTACACAATTATGACATAATTTTCAACGTAAGGCTAAAATTAAGCAAATGTGTTAGTTATAACATATGGTAACATTCTACATAATATAGCGGAGGAAGAAGTCATACACTCTTACATGCATAACAGCATGATATTTAGCAATGAGTGGAAAAAATATTATTACATTGAAAATGCAAAAAAATTGCTAATATTGATAAATGTGTTTATTTTATATTTACTTTGACTTGCTAAAATATTTAAGTTTGCTCGGGCTATTTTTCTATGGTCTTATTATCTGCATGTATATTCTATTCAGATATGTAATTTGATTGATTTGATTTTATTAAAAAAATTCTACTCTGACTTTAAAACTTATTGTTGTGTTTAGTGTTTAAGTTCCATCATAAGGCGTCTGTTAGCTTGCTATTTAAGCCGTTGAATTGTAACAACTCGCGTCTAATCGCTATTGGATTGACGTCTGTCAGAGACTTAACAAAGTTATACGGGGTTTGGCATATATATGTACTTTAAACTTTTCACTATGGCAAATTTTGCGTCCGAAATATATCACGTTCCTTTGAACATTTGTAATTTGCTCATCCAAAGTAATAAAAAGTCTAACAGTTTTTTTGTTGTTGTTATTTCTTGTTGTTGTTGTTTTTTCATGATTACCCCTCTATGACACTTGCATATGTTTCAAAATTTAAATTTTCACCATTTTCGTGTATACAAAGATATTGCTTTGACAATGGTCAAATCTGAAATTAGATTTTTTTTTATAATAACTAAACAGCCTCTTTGTAAATATAAAATTACTATGTTTTGACTTCACACAAAGAAGCTTAGTCATTTCAAGAATGCATCTTGTACTTTTACAGTACCGGCCATGAGCAGGCCCATTCAAACTGGGCAAGCAGCGATCTCAATTCATAGAATATTAGTTAATTCTAAAATTCTACACACTATAGGTAGTCATAAACAAGTTAGTTTAGGAAAATCCCAATTTCGCTTGACCTGTAATAGGAAACGCAGCTTCCGGTATATAGTTTATTCATTCTTTACTTTAAATGAGACATATTCGGTTAGAATATCACAGATATAAACAATCTTCTGTGATTAGAATATTTCGAAGAGCATAGTATATAATTTTAATGATAAACTTTGCTTAGAGTGATTTGGGTGCTGACGGTAACTTAAACTTTTTACAGTACCTGCCATGAGAAGACCCATTCAAACTGAACCAGCAGCTATTTTGTCGTTTTTGACGTGCTTCAGGAATTCCATTTTTCATCATTTGGATGATACAGATCGAACTTGTGTCTTTAATTTTTTTAGATTTGAGTAATACATTTTTTTTGTATTTAATTCACGATTTATGTATACTTTGATTACCATAGAAACGAGAAAAACCTCTTCTGACAAACAATTTAAAATGGAAATAAATTCAATTTTGAGCAAAGGGTCGAAATATTCACCTTGTTGTTAACGATATTCACCATTATGCAATTGCTTTCTGCAAAAGCACAAAGTTGTTTTGTATTGCAAATTTTGCAAATGGCTTGCCCCGTACTTCACTTCAGTGTTGTTATATTTTTCTGGTCCTTCGGGATCATTGATGCCAGCGCTATAAAGTACCGCTCAAGCCGGTGCTAGTGGGCGTGACGGATGTTGCATATATTCAGTATCCCTCATGTACAGACTCAATCAAACCGAGTCTGCAATTCTCTTGTAATTTTGTTATTAATTCTTCCGAGGGATCACTTTGTTTCCAGATTTGTTTACCTTTTTTCATTTCAAGCCTGTTATAGCATTAAGTTTTGGTTATCAGGATACATACCGTGACGATACAGACATTGTTTATTACAGATAGAGAAAATAAAAATCCCTACAAAAACTCAAAAAAAATGTTTCAGGCTCGGTTTGATTGAGCCTATTCATTTTGAATTAAGAAACATTCGCGGATGTGTTCATACGGCGGTTATCATGGAACATTCAATGTGACACTTGTGTGTCATTTCATGAAAAGCGGCGTATGGTCCCCAAGTTATGGAAAGCGTGTGTCTCTTAAGAGAAAACAATGGGCGCAACTAAAAAAAATGAATTTTTAAAGGGGGTCAGAGGTTGAATGTCGCAGAAAAGACGTCAACAGACAAAGCTGAAAATATGATAAACAAGATCATCAAGGAAAGGCGGCTTTCAATGAACATAGCCCCCACCCGACCCAGTAACAAGAGTCAGTGGCAAGGAGCCCAAAAGGACCCCAAACAAAAACAGGACAAGGCACAAGACAGAGCACGGACAGGCCATAAACTAAAAGATAAATAATTTGTAACTGATAAGGAATTCAAAGAAAACAACATCAGGCAACATATCCTAAGGGTGTTTCAACATTATTCAAGTAGGAATATTGGAACATACCAACACGAAAAAGCCAACAAGTTAAAACTTAATATTACCACAAATACAAAAAAATGGCGTGTTGAACGATCTGTCAGGATCGGAAAGAGAACATCTTTGATTGAATGTACGGGGCAACATTCTAAAGCCTCCACACGGCACAAACAACGATGATAAAATAAAGAATATTAGAATCCCTACAAAATGTCCAAAACGGCTATTTTATAAATCGATTTGATTGATTGATTTAATTTTTTTAGTTCCTTATAGTGCCCATTAGGGTGGTAATAGCTTAACCAATTTTTTTCAATAACTCGATTTACATCAAATATTTGAGGTTATTGAACTGTTCAGGATATACTATGTTAAAATATGACATTAGAAAATATTGATAGCAGTCTCCTTGTAAATATGAAATAACGTGCATGTTTTGACTTCACACAAAGTACATATGTTGTGTTTTAGGTGACAACAAAGTCAATTATCAATTAAAAAATACCTAAAATGAGATTATTTGCTAAGTAGATTTATTTACCTTTTTCTGAATACATTCTAGCAGTAAGTACAGAAACTATGTTTTTAAACGTTTTATAACGATACCTATACCATTTTTTTCCGCTATACGCCTAACTTTTATGTGAACGCCTATATATGACAGGTGGCGAGGTGTCCCTTACAAATTTCTAAAATATGTTTACGATAGTCTTCGGATGATTAATTCTTATGAATCAATGAAAATTATATCAAAATACATTTTCAGTGAATGGTTCGAATATATTGTTCACTAATAAATCAAACACAATTTATTGTTTGTCCCAGAGGAAACTGAATCTATTTATGCGGTGTATAGATAAAATTCGGGATAATAAAAGTCAAGAACGTCAGATCATATTGATCAAGAAATACCTTTTATTTCTATCAAATTATGAATTTATGTCAAGCATTTATATGAACTGATCAAACAAAAATATATAATGTCCCGTTCTTATTTGTACAACGTACCATGCTCGGAGTTTAAAAGTCTGTCAGGGGCACAATTTTTCGTTATCAAAGTGTATACAATTGCCATTTTAAAGAAATGTTTTGAAGAAGGATATTCGTATGCATAAAAATGGCATAACACGTCATACCCAATTGCACATCACATACTATTACGTTTTAAAAGGTCTTCAGCTTGTTATCTTTGTTAAAACGAATCTAGCCGTTTCAAAACAAGTATTTCAAAAATATTATATCCTAGGAAAAGTGCACCATATCACTGTGAAGCATTCTTCAAGACAGCGTTCCGATTGCTATTTATAGCACACAGTGACGTCGGTTTCTAAATTTCGTTTTGTTTGTTCGGATTTTTACGGCACGTCAACACATAACTGGCCATATTGTGACGAATGCTTTAATAGGATCCGTGTTATTTGTGCCGTGTGACGGCTGTAAAAAGTCTTCCCGTACATTTAATCAATGATGTTATATTTTCGATCCTTGAAGATCGTTCAGCACGACATTATTGTTGTGCTAGTGGTATTTTTAGATCAATCTTTCGGCATTTTCTAGTTGGATGGTTCCAATACTCCGACTTAAACACTGTTGTATCACCCTTAGGATTTGTTGCCTGCTTTTAAATTTGTCTTTTAACGTCTTATCTGTGATATGCAGCCTTATACATGTATCACTTTGTTTCCAGAATTTTGTACTTCACAACAGCAGGTGTCAAATGCCGTGTGGCGACCCGTACTTCACTTCAGTGTTGTATCACCCTTAGGATTTTTTGCCTGCTTTTAAATTTGTCTTTTAACGTCTTATCTGTGATATGCAGCCTTATACATGTATCACTTTGTTTCCAGAATTTTGTACCTCACAACAGCAGGTGTCAAATGCCGTGTGGCGACCCGTACTTCACTTCAGTGTTGTTATATTTTCTGATCTTATTTTAAAGGGGAAAGCAAATTTAAATGCAAAATGTATATTGTATTTAAGCAGTTAAGGTTGATATAAGCTTACCTGTATATGCGTTGTGTTAAAATAATATTTGTGTATTTCATCAAATGCTTCTGAACCGCCATTGCTCAAGCCAAAATAGTTTTTTAAAAGGTGTGTATGTTGGATATCTGCCTCGTACTTAGGAAAGACCTGGTCACGAATTTCAACGTGCTCTCGGTGTCACATGAAATTCGAGATCTGGTCTTTCCTAAACAGAAAGACCTCGTACTCGGTCGATATCCTATACGTACTTATTCGTAGAAGGCCGTAGTGTATCCGTAGTGCGTCCGTCCTGATTCGTGTCGCTCCGTATCAAACCGTGTCGGTCCATAATTATTCTTTACACACAACTTAATCAATATGCGTACTAGATTTATCTTTAATTTATTGTATTTTTTATTTTCTTTCTTTCAATTTTTTTCATCAAAAGGTAGAAATGGAATCAAATAATTCGTAATACGGATCATATGGAGTTCTTTCTCTTGTGTTTTAATTATAACAAGTTGACATTTAATTTGTTATTTTAAGAAGACAATTGTAATGAAATGAGTCGCTCTGGAAACAATGAACGTTTGCGACTTTCATTGTTTCCAGAGTTAAAATGCTGGACGCTTACACGAACACGACATTCAAGTGAATTGAATGAACTAATTATTATTATAGCTTTATTTCCACTTACTACTACCACTAACTGTGACTTTGATATTCAAGACAACATCACAACCATCATGAAATAATAAATTCAATGTTGTTGAAAACGCTTTAATGTCAATGTTGATAGTTAAAGCGGCCTTCAGCGTTTCTAATCAAAAGAATTAAGTTATCAAATAAAATGTGTCATCGATAAAATACATAAAAATAAGGTAACCACTCGATAGGTTTAATCCACTGGCCCGCTCTCTATACATTCATCTCGGCTAGCGTCCATTGGCATTTGGCAAACTTATGAACACTGATTGTATTGATTCATATAGGAAAACATCAGCTGGAAGAGTTGAGGACTGCCAGCCCTAGGTCACGAGTTCGAATCTCTGTTAAAATTCGAAAATAGTTATCACAGGTTTAGTGCTATCTTTACGAACACAAACATGTTTTTCTCTTTTTACATTGTCATTAAAGTTAACATTGCACATGAAGTTAGACAATATTGCATCATTGCATCGTTTTGTGTAGACATATCACCTTAAAAATATATATCTCGTGATGTGTACAATATGTCTTGTGTGTTTCCCGTGATAGCTCAGTTGGTAGA